TCTACATCTAGATACTTAGATATAAGCTGGGCATCTCCACTCTGAAATAGCCAGTGGAGACTGAGCATTCAAGCCATTTGTTCTTACAATGGTGATTTGAGATGCCTAAGGGTATCCAAGCCAACTGCACCAGAGTGCCAGATCTGATACAGAAGGTTTGGGAGATTCATGTGCTCCTGGAATGGTCCCTGAAAGCTGCATGGGAAGCACTGCAGCATTTCAAATGACACTACATTGATGTGGAAGGAGTAAGGTGAGGCCCCAGGCAATCCAGGCAACCACACCTGGGAACATTTCAGTGTACACAGAAATAGGCACCAGCATCCAGTCAGCTGGAACAGACCTTCTGACCTTTTGGCTGTTTGGGAGCTGAGACACTCAGTTCACATTTAGGTAATAACCATCAGACATCTAAATTTAGGTGCTTCTATCTGCAAGTTACATCCCTTCACAAAAGCGAGGTGACAGTCATCTTGCCTTTCTGGTGTGATCACTGTGCCATTTGTACTCACCCATCTAGATCACTGATGCTTCTCCACCCTCCTTGGCACAGCATGAAAGCCATGGAGACCATTTCTCAAGCTCTCTATCATGAGTCAGCAGCCCTCGGGCTTCTAAGTCACTTGGGATTTCTTGTAAATGTAGCCCCATTTATTAGCCTTCAAAAGTATAGGGTATGTTTGATGACTGACTCAAGGATTTCTCAGGCATTCTGGAAAACGTCAGTGTTGCTTTTATCTTTTCTTCCCCCCTCCCACCCCCTCATATAATTTGACACTATGGGTTTTTGTGTGTCTGTGTAAATGTATGGAAGTAGCTAGCAATCCATAATGTGCTCTGACAAGATGCAAATAGGCTGTCACTGACCTTAGCAAGCTTCCTGGGATATCTTCCTAGGCAGGTCAGGTCCCACTGAGATGGTGCTAAATTCCTCTCCATCACTCCTTTTTTTCTCCTCTCATTTTTTCATAACTGCTCCTTCTTGGCTGGCTCACTAAACCTAGGACTTGCTTTAAAGTTTAGATTAGTTTCATGTAAAGAAAGCTTCCATGTCATTTCCTAAGAAACCTTGAAACTTTAGACTGAAATAAAAGCAGGAAGGACATGAGGAACTGTTAGAGCTCAGCATGGCCACCCCACAGTGACTACACTGAGTGTTGCCTTTCACTGGATGAGCCACTCATCCCTGCAGGCCCACATGTATTTCTACTGAGTGTGGAATAGAGGACTCTCTTGTATGCATTTTGTGGCAAACTCCACATGCAACATTCAAAAAGGATCAGCCTCCAGAAATAACCCAGAAGCCCTAAAACAAGCAAGCAAGCAAACAAACAAACAAAATTAACATGCAGATGAGACACCCGTGGGCAGTCAGAATTCAGCACAGGCATGTACAGCTGCTCCCCCTCTTCTGGGAAGCAGCACAAACTTCATGAGGTGGGAGGGATTTCCAGGTTTAGGGGCTCAGTGTGGATAGGCCCTGATGTCAATGCCTTAATCAGAATAATAAAATACTCCCAGTGAGTAATATCTAAAATAACAAATGAAGTCATGAACACATTGGAGGTACCCGAGGATTTGGACGGGATTGTGCTTATTAGGTGTGTCTGGCCACAGGCATAAAATGTAGAGCAAGGGGGAATTTGTCATTGCTTTTGTTCATTAACCCTTTGGGCCAGCAATTTGGACAAAGTGACTCAGTGATCACAAGCAGACAGAACTGAGGCTCTGGGGACCAACGCTCGGGTGAGCAAGACACAATGAACTGCAAGCTGCCCTTTCCAGGAAAGCAGCCGGTGTCTCTCCCTGGGCCAGGTGGAAGGGCCAAGCAGAGCTGACATGTTCCCACAAGCAGCGCCAGCACTCAGCAAGAGCCTCGAGGAAACCATCTCTGGAGCCAGGCTGGCAGCCACTGCCTCTGGGCACTGTGTGCCCATTCACACCCCGCAACCTCCTCTTCTCCCACTTTGCAAGCAGTTGCCTGGTGAGAAAGCATGCAACGAGACAAAAGGCTTGAAGCAGGGAGGGGATGCACTGCTATTCATAGCCCCGGTCCCCACCCACGAGTGCCAGGAGTCAGACAGGGGAGCACCTTATCAGGTGCTTGACTGAGCAGCATTCAGTCCCGTCCCAGGGCTGGGACAGGCAGCGGCTCCATCTCCACCCCGACACAGGGGTGAGTGCCCCACTGACGTCAGGGAGCCTTACTTCATTTCCTGGCACAGGGACCGAATTTTCATAGCCGTGTCCTGTGGGAGACGAGAGGCGGTGGAACTGGACTAGGCGTGCTCAGCCCCACCTACTCAGCCCTCCAGCTGTTAAAGCTCCCAGGAAGGGCGAGCGCGAAGCTGCTGCTCTGCTGGGGTTACAGGAGCGGAGGTGTCTGTGTCACTGGTGTGCTGGAAACTTGCCTCTTCTAGACAGAGCCTCTCTGTTGCCTTCACCAGGCAGGACCCAGAAAGGTAATTCAAGGCAATGTTTTACAGGATCCAGGGCATGCCTGCCTTCTGTGTCTGGCGTGGGATGGCGTGCAGGACCATGGCTCTGGGGATTGGGAGAGCAGGGGCATGGGGTGATCTGAGAGTGTCTTCCACTCTTAACTCTCACATGGGATTGCCAGCT